TTAAGGGACATAATAAATATGGCAGCTCATAAATGGGCTACCTGTATTTATTATGTACCACATTCATTAGATACTACATCTAACGGAGTGCTGGGCTCCCAGATGAATGCAGTCAAAGGAGACGTGACTCCTGGGATCAGCCTCAAAGAGGGGAGGCGGGTAGAAAAAGAGATGATGTGAGCTGGAGGGTGGGTGGAGATAGGGAACTCTGGGTTCCAGCCCAAGGCGGGGTGCACTAGTGGACAGAGGGCTTTGGAGCCTGACAGAGAATCAAATCCCAGCTCTGCCAGGCTTAGCTGGTGACCTGGGGCAAGTACTTGAATGGCATGCATATGAGTTTCCTTGTCTTTAAAATTAGTATAAAAAATAATGCCTTCCTCATGATGCGTGGAAAATACTGAACACAGAGCTTGGCACATGGTAGCTGATACCAGCAACAGCGAGTAACAGCTGGCTCCCCTTGATTCTGACTATATGCCAAAGAACATGCACAGTCTCATTTAATCCTCATAAAGCGCCTGGGTGGTAATGTCATTTCCCTTTTTTAGGTGAGGGAACTGAACCTCAGAGAGGTGGGACCATTTGTCTAAGGTCACACAGGATTGAGCACCTGAGCCAGGATTTGAACCCAGGTCTGTCTTAATCTGGAGCCCCAAATCTTAATCATCATTTTCAATGAATGCTAATTCCCTGGCCCCATTCATCCATTTTCCTCCAAACTTCAGGCCTGTCTTCACATCTCCTTTGCCACTTTATTTCTCATTAGCCAGGGGAGACAGCTTTCTGGGCCATCACCCACCGCGGGTCTCAGGCCCAAAGACCAACAACCACCAGCTCCTGCATCCACAAGGACTTTGACTATGAGGACACATCTCCATGGCTAATTGGCTAGACAAGAGTGACAGGCACATGGCACCTCAAATCGTTGCCTGGCTCTCCACCCACCCACAGAGCCTTTTGGAAGCGAAGATCATCACCACACAGTTTCCTGATTTACCTTTAAGGAGAGTGGGAACATAAAATCGTCTCTGGAAGGTGGATTGAGAAAACAGTGGAGACCATTAAGTCCAAAGGCTTAGTTGTCCCTCAAGAAAGATGTTCAAAAGGCACTTACGAAGGAGATGTGCGGGGATGAAGGGGAATGCTAAGAGGAAATGACACGCACTCCCTGGGGCGGGGTGAAAGGTCTACTGAGGTTTCCCCATTCCACGGAGCTGACGGTCAGGCAGGGAGAACGGCAGTGTGGGTGAGGGCTGCAGGGTCACACAGGTCCTGGCTCCACCACTTTCTACCGTCGCGACCATAGACAAATCACATACCCTCCCGGGACCTTTGCTTTTGTGTCTGCAAAGTGGGGCCAGGAATGCTGATCTGCTGAGGGAATCCTGAGGATTTAGGATTAAATGAGAGCACACGTAGGGCGCCTCACTTTACACCAGACGCACAGTGGCTCCGCCCCTTCCTTCCTCCGCCCCGCCCAGCTCCCAGGCCGTCCTCCCACGGACCCTGGCCAAGGGAGCCACCATTCTCCGTGTCAGGAGAGGGGAGGACTCCGATGGGGAGGATTTCTCTGCGGAGAGAATGAGCGTGGTTGGTGGTTCTCAAACTGGGTAGCACTATCCTAAAGCCATTTTCAGGATTTCAAATAATAACTCAGAAATTATCCCCTCACCACCGGCTGGATCAAGGGGCAAGTGTCTTGGGTTTTGGAGCAATTAAACCCCACTCCCCCACCTCGGCAGGGAGGGTTGGGGGCTTACAGCTGGTTGTTTTATCATACAGCGTGACCCTGGATGCAACTGTTTCATGTGTAACAAAGCCAGGTGTCTAAGGGCTTTAAGGGGGTTTAAGGGGACCTTTTACGTGACACTACTTCATGTAAGCGCTGATTTAGAATCCAGCCCTTGAATAACTCACATCACCAGCATTTCAATAAAAGATGATGTTCTTGGTCATGAAAAGGTAGGGCAGCACTGGTCTGGCCCAACACCCTCACTGTGCAAATGGGAAAACTTTCATAAAAGGGAAGGGGATTTGGCCAAGTCACAGAACCAATTAGTGAGGGCTCTGGGCCCGGAGCCCTGTTTCCTGAAGCCCAGGCGAGTGCCCTGTGGATTCTCTACACACTCAAATGTTTTATTTATTTTGGTAGCATACACCTTCCCTTGTTAGGATGTCTGCTTAGAAAAGCATGGGCTTGTTTTGTTCACTGCCATATTCCTAGTGTCCAGGGCAGTGCCCGGCACATGTGGGTCCTCAGTTCACACATCTGAATGAATGAATGAATGAATGAAT